ATCGTCCTAACTAGTTAGGTCAGTTGTATACTAGAAGCGATTAAACTCATTTTAATTCTTTGTGATTAGTGGAACCCCTTAAAAGTACTTAAGAGAGAACTATACGTAGCTTAGTTTGGAGCGAACCAGTATAAAAATATGTGTACCTTATTACTTTTGGTTTTCAAAGGTTTTCCCTAAATGTTGTTTTAAATATTTAAGTGTTTAAGAAATATAGATCGTCTAACTCCTGCAAAAGAGATTAAACATTGTTTTGCGAAAATATTTAAAACTCTATTCAAGCCTCCCTTTCTAGATATTTCCTGTGTTACACTTTGCAACTACTCTAATAATTTTAAGCAAAATACTGTAATGAGATATCATAAATTGAACAACAAATAATCTTTATGATATTCGTTGAAATTTTTTTGACTAAGTGAAAAAGAGGTCTATACAATAACAAAGATTTTCCAATGTAAATGAAAAAATAAATAAAAAGAATCCTATCAACATGAATAATAAAATTTAGTTGTTAGCAATCAAAATATAAAACTTCCAACAATTTCAAAGTCTTGGTCAAGCCATTGGTGCCCCTACCAAAATCAAGTTGAAGAAAAAAAAAAGACATAAATATAAGAATATGAGAAACCTTAAACTTTTGTTTTTAGATGAAATTTAGAATTATCTAATCTTGAGTAATTTAATTAATCTTATAAAAGTTTAGAATTTCAATTTGTTTTAAAGTTTTCTACACAAATAATATATTTCATCATTATGGTGTTAGGCCCAATATCAATTTAGTCAATTAGTCTCATGTTGATTAGGTCAATAATTGGATTTGGTCTAAAGAACTTTTAACTTTACATTCTACTATAGTAAGGTTAAGAGGGTTATGAGTATTAAGCCTAATACTGATTCAAGGAATCGGGTATTAGGTTCAATATTGATTGGATTAATAAGTACAATGTTGATTGATATGATAGATAAAACGCTAACTTAATTGATAATTATTAGGATAGTTATACATAGAAGACAAATGGTCAAATAAATAAAGATGTTAAAGAGGGAATATTGGAGTAAATAGGTTGTTTTGAGAATAATAAAGACGGAATGGAATTCAAGAGGTCGAGGAATGATGAGTATAAAGGGACTTTGGGAAATGAAAAAAGGCATATTACTTTGAATACTTTTAGGTGTATGGTCTTAGTAATTTTTTGCTAGAACAATCATAAAAAACTTCAGTTTTTAAAAAATTAAATTACTCTTAAAATTCTATATTCAAAAATAGTATCAAGTTTTCTTTTAGTATTTTAGATTCAATTGATTAACGATAGCAAAGGAATAACCATCATCTTATGCATAAATACTTTGATAGTAGTTGATAAATTAAAAAAAAAATGCTTCTAACATAATATTGATTCACAATGTAGCATGCTCAAATAACGTGCAAATCAAACCAAAAAACGTTTTGAGGGTAAAAGGAAAAAGCCTAAATCCTAAATTAATTTCTTTGTTCTTTTTTGTTAAGGGGGGAGGTAGCCAAAGCAATAAATAAACAAACTAAACTTTAACCAAACAAAAATATCTAAAATAGAAACCTTCAGCAGTGAGGTATTGCTCCATAAGAAGAAAAGCTCAGAAGATGATCGATAGTGGCTGACCAGCTTTTAACAAGAAGATAATGGATTAGGCTGCCATAGCATGAAACATTTTAAAATTATTTATGGAACAACAATCTTATATTCTTTAAACTAGAGCAAAGATTATCCGAATCCATTATACTCTATCATGTCATAACTTCAAATAACATTAATCTTCATAATCAATGTCCATAAAGTTTTTAACATATATAGTTCAATCCACCTGTTACACATGCTCTTTTGATTACACAAACTTCTCGTTGTCCTTGATCACTTTCTGATAAGAGGAATCCTCTGGCTTATTGTCGTAATGTAGTAATGCAATAAAACTCCTAAGAGCATGTCCCCCAATAGGCTGAAGTAGAAGAAGACTAAATCCAAATACGCAAATAGGGATCAACAATAAACTGCATACTAGACCTATAATAACTAAAATCGATCGGAGTGAATAATTATCTAGAACTAGACTTAAAGCAACCAAAAATACAGTTGGCAATACTGAAAAGGAATTATACAAACACACTGTTGCGATCAAAGTTGCCTTACGTGCCAATTCAGAGTCAAAAGTTTGAGCCACCAACATCAGTATACATGCAGCTGTAGAACTAAACATGGCTATTGTATTATAGATGCTGAAAATCCAGAAACCTGGTTTATGATCCAGAACAGCCATCCCTGTTTTTTTTGAATTTGGGTCATCAGAACTGTATAGACCTCCTGGAACACTAAAAAAAGCTGTAAATGTAAGAGTGAGAATCAAAGTGGCCACAACTAAGAATGTGTTGGGATCTTTTAAAAGCAAATCCCTTTTGGGTGATTGTTGGCGTTGAAGACGCAACATGGAATTTAACTTCAAGGATACGCCAGCTTCGATCAAAGCCGAATTGGCTAGAAGCTGCACGAATTAGAAAACTTTACAGAAAAAAGAGTGTAGAAATTAGCAGAAGTTATGCATCATCAACAAGTAGAATTCGAGTTGTGATTTGGTATGTAATGAGAGAATAAAATGAAAATATGCAGCAAATTATTGTAAGGAGGTTCAACACACACATACACATACATATATCCACAGTGGGACTTTGTTTGTACCCAACAATTATAACTCTATTATTCAGACATATTCACGGTGAAACCAAAAGATTAGTTCTTACTCAAATATCATATAGTAGAAATTTATCTATTTTGTCATTTTTTATTTGATTTTATCCTCTTTGATCCACACATGGTACTCTATTGCATGACATGGGGTGAAACCCTAGTATATCATTCTTAATCATACCTTTCGAACAGTCTCCTGAGTCTTAAATTCCAATTGAACAATATCTCGAGCTGTTAAATCGTGGTTATTGGTGATATTCACGTTAATCCTCTTGTCTTGTGCTATAAAATACAGAACTTTTGGAAATAAATTTATGGAAGCCAAATGCAATGGCGAGTTTCCATCATTATCTCTATGATTTATAGCACACTGATCGATCTTCTGATTCCGCAATAGGTGTTGTACCACTTTAGTTCTTCCATACTTCGCTGCAATGTGAAGAATATTTTGACCTTTTTGATTGAGTAGAACATAAGGATTAATGGGCAATTCATGTCGAAGGAATTCTTCGACCACCTCAACATGACCCCTTTTGCAAGCAACATGAATGGGAAAACTTCCCTTCTTGTTCCGTTCTAGGAGACTTTGGTTTGATTTCTCTGATAAATTTTGTAACAATATACGAAATCCTTCAACATAACCAGTGTAAGCTGCATAATGAAAGGGAGTACCCCCTTCTTCATCTCTCAAGTAAATTAGCTCCTCTCTTTTCCCTAATATCTCTCTTATTAGATCTAGAATTCAACAAAACAATGTAAATTAATTAAAATCTTGCAAACAATAAGATTAAAAAATATTAAATACATATATTGTACTAACAGTTTTCAAACTATTTAGAAATTAAACATTAAATAATTATGTTTTTTTGGTCTATTAGAATAATATCATTTCAACCCTTTAAATCGACTTTATAGTATGTAAAAATGTCATAAAGAGATGGCAAAGTTAGTAAGTGTTGATTCATACAATAGGTAAAAGTATTTTAAAATATATATATATATATATATATAACAGGCAGACATTTCAAATCTATTTAATTCGTTGATTATGAATATTAGCTATAACGACATTTGGTGTGAAGAATTAATACCAGGATTCCTTTCTCGAAGGGCTGCATGGAGTGGAGAGTTTCCGAAACACTGTGGAAGTGGTTGATCAGCAGGAAAGGGAATTTGTAACAGAAGATTCAAAATTTTCAGATCTGGACTCATAACTGACAAGAACAGTGGTGAAGACCTGGACTTGTTCAGATAATGTGCAACAGGCTCATCTGCATGTAAAATCTCTTCAACCAAACCAAAATGGTCACTATAGACAGCTTCATGTAAAGGAGTATTCCCATACTCATTTGTTTCTCTTGTTATCTCCTTATCCTTCAAACCATCGTGTTTTGACTTCTCTATGGCATACTGAGACAGAACAAGCTTGACTATAGTGGAGTTCTTGGACCTCACAGCAACATGAAGTGGAGTATCACCTCTCACATTTCTCCTAGTAAGAAGCTCAGGAAATTGACAAGAAATCAACTCTGCAATCTGTTCACTCCCAAAATCTGCGGCCACGTGAAGCAGTGAATCACCTGCCCATGTTACCTGATCAAAAATATCAGACAAAGGCACCTTCCTTTCTGCACATTCTTTCCCCAACACATCAACAAAGTTAACCACATCCCCCTTTTCAACAGCATCATAAAGCTCAAAATTCACAATATTTTTCTCCCAAACAAGTTCCTTATGCAGTAGTAGTGAGGCTGCATCTTCTGCACTTGAGAATTGTGTATTCTTCAGCTCCTCCATCTTCTCGCTCCATCTCTGTTTCCGGCTTGCGTCATCCGAGATAGAAATCTGCAAATGATCATAATCCATGATTATGTGGTGCTAAGGCAAAAGCAATTGCTTAGACAATTGTTTGGTTCATATGTCTATATAAGAATAATAAGTTAAATAATTCAATGGTTATCCTTTTTCGCAATCGGTCCCTTTATTCTTTTTTTTCTTAATTTGGCTTGTTTTGAAAATTTTCATACAATCACATCTTTTCGGTTAATATCTTACTAACACGTTAAAAGAGATGTTACATGTGATTTCATGTTTTTTTTTAAATATTTTTTAAATTATATTTATTGTTATTTTTTAATTTTTAGAAAAATAAAAATTTGTCATATGTTAAATTGAAGTTGTGCCACATACCGTGATATGATATGATATGATATGATATGATATGATATGATAGTGAAAGTGTAATGTGACAATGTGACGTGTAACATCTAAAAAATATAGCTATAAACTATATTTAAGAGTTCTTACATTTACAATAAAATATAACAGTTACAGGACAAATAAAGTTAATTTACAGTTATCCTAAAATAATCATAAATTAAAAACTTTACAGAAACAATACTAATACACACCAAAAGAACTTACCGATCGATCATACAAGAAGTGTATCGACCGAACGGTCCTACATTAATACAAAAGGAGTACAAGACCGAACAGTCTTGCTCTTAAACTACTTTCTTCTTCTTCCAGCGCTTGCTCCAAAGAGTCGTGTGCACCTTGCTCACACTCACAGGGTGATCATTGCAAAGACAAGGATGACTGAACGAACCACATGACAAGACAGGAAAATAAGGGTAAGCTAGTGTAATTTAATTAACTATGTAAACATACATTTCATACAAACACATAAAACAATCATACTTCTACGTAAATCACACCAACATATTATAATCGACCACTTTCACTTTGACTGTCCAGACTGTATGAATTATGTAGCTACGACGTTCTTGCACTCGTTAAAAGGTAATCTGGAAAATCATCAGAATTACCATAGCTGGAAACCCAAGCCGCCACACGAGGTTAGCCCTTCATCCCTTACTGTAGCTGGAAACCCAAGTCTACATATGAGATTAGTCCGATAGCTGGAACCCCAAGCTATACGCAACAAGGCCTCCTGCTATTCTCACCACATGCGCCACCATTCTCTACTTGAGACTCGGTGACCATTAGAATGTCAGGATGAACGATAGCTTAGTTTGACCATATTCATACTTTACAATTCCATAACCATTTCTGAGATATTCCTCCTTGGAACACTCGTTCATATCCATATAATACAATTCACATCATACTTCTTCACATCCATACTATTCCATTCATATCACATTTTAAATACCATACCTCATTAACAACATATTTCCTCATCCATAACACCTTTAAATAACTTCAAACCGAACAAAACAACATCACCATTGAGCACAACTGACTCGGAAATATCAACACTTACTATGAATAAAACCTGATGGTAGAACACCCCTATATGCGAACATGACCGTATGAGATATTGTTTCCCTATGGTAAACATGACCGAATGGGATATTACTATACAAAATCCAAAGATTTGATTGAATACTTTAGAACATCTATAATTAGACATAACCAAATACTAAAGCTTATAACCAAAATCTAAGAGCTTAGACCAAATATTACGAGCTTAGTTTCAATTTCAATCACATTTGGTAATATGACGAGATCGAGTGCTTAGTGCATCACCGAGCACTACTGAGACCGAGCGTTGGTACAAGACCAAGCACTATTGAGACTGAGTGCTAGTACAAACAAAACACTCTTCAAGAAGCCGAGTGTCAGTACCAACCGAACACTCTTCGAGAGACGAGTGTCAGTACAGCCCGAGCACTCTTTAGAAATCCGAGTGTCAGTACAAACCGAGCACTCTTTACGAAACCAAGTACCAGTCTAAGACTGAACACTCTTTAAGAAACCGAACGGTCTTAAACTGGAGAGTCTCTAAAGAGACTAACCTAGTTATGACCGAGAGCAGAACAAGGCCGAACGGTCAACACTAACCATTTCAGCATTCAGCATAATTCTGCAGAACTTCTATAGAATTTTGAACAACACCCTTCATGACCATTTCTAAACACTTTGACTAACTTCAAATCCTCAAAACTTGAATCATATATCAATTCACACCTAAGCAGATATACTTAAACTTCAAAAACACCAAACTAAAGAGTTTCATGACAGGTTTCACCTCAATTTACACAAAATAAGAACACAAGGACCCAAAGTCAGATTTATCACTTTTCATACCCTACAGAAAAACATAAAGGCTCTAACAAGTCTAAATAAACATGCTCAGACACAATTCATTACCTAATTTCATTTTTAGCTTCAATTTCTCAATTTCACTCATTCACTTTTTCTCCAACCAAGACAAACCGAACATTATTTCAGCAGAAACCAAACGATTCACAATTCTCGATCATACATACAATTCAGCAACCAAATCATTCAATCATACATGCATACATTTAAACAACTAATTCTCACACAGAAAACATAATTAAATTACTAGCTTCCCTTACCTCTTGATCGGACAACAAGCTTAACTCACAACAGAAATTGTTTTCCCCACCACCAAAACTTTCTACAATACCTATAATCCACCAATCAAGAAAGAATAATCAACCAACAGACCAAAACATGATCAGAATTTGTGAAGATGAAATAGATGAAGACATGCAACCAGAGATTTGACTTGCATGTGTCCGAAAGCAGATTTGTTAGGAAGAGGATGAACTTACCAACTCTAAGCTTGATTTTGATCGGTGAAAAACAATGATCTTGACTCCTAGTTTGCTTAAACAGTGGCTGGTTGAAGAAAAGAGTGAAAGGGAATGAAGAATTTCTAGAGAGAAGGAGGAAAAAAGGTAGAGGCTTGAGTTTTAGAGAAATGCAGATTTCTGAGAAAATGAGATGAGCTGTGGTTTGGGAAATTCTATAAAATGCTCACTCTCTTGTATTTGAGACATCTGTCCCTCCCTTCCAAGTGTCATTTTCAGGGTTTTACTGTCAATTTTATTCTATTTTTTTTAAATTAAACATTTTTTCTTCATATTGAAACGAATTTAATTTCTATATAAATGTTATACAAATATTTTTATTAAAATTAATATTTTTATTAAAAATTAAATTTATTTATATTTATATTTTATATACTAATCTCAACATTTTGGTGTTATGATTATTATTTATGACGAGATATAGTTCTATTATTATTAACTACTTTATTGTTATATATTTGAGATAAGTATTATTCCAATGATAACATAGGTCCCCAATTAATGTGGATCTTATAAATATACTTAGTATTTCGAAGAAATACTCACTCAATATCTCATACTCATAGATCTAAACAATTTTACCAACTTGAGCATAAGATAATCTTATGCAAGCGGATCTCCCCCCTCTAAGCAATAAGAAATTCCATTTTGATGATGAAGAAACTTTAAGCTACTCCAAGGATCTTGCCACCTATCCGGATATCCACACTCAATATTATGCTAAGATAATTTGGTGTTGGGTAAGAACAATTACCATTTAAAAATTTTCCATGAAAACTTCTTTAAACTTTCAAGATCAACATCATTTTTCTTTTAATGACTACCTGTTTTTGACTTCAAATTAAAATTTTAAGTTGTATTTATCATTAAATAAATATTTCTTGAACATTGTAATAAACAAATAATTATTACACATATTTCTAAATTCTGACTAAATATACATATATAAAACACATTTTCATTTTTATTTATTTCTTATTGTATATATCCAGTCCAACAATTATTCTAAAGAGTTTGGCCGAACAAGGTCCAATTATCGCTTAAAGTGATAAAAAAAATATTAACAAAGTTATTTTTTGGTGCAATTACTATATATGGTCAAATCTTGGTGTTAAGACGAGATCATCTAGAGAAACTAGATCGTCTAGCAACCCAAATTTTGAAATTTAACAAGCATTAAACGAAAATTCTTTCAAAAAGATAAATGCCTACTAGACTTGAAACAATTAAGCATTTGATCAAATCAAATGAAAACCTAAACCTTTATACGAAAAAATACGCAAATCATCAAAGTGTTGATATAAAGTCTTTTCAAGATAAGAACATACACAACAATGTTTTCCTGAAGTCTATGTCGTCTAACACATTATTTATAAGAAGCGTCTGATCAATAAAAAAAGATAATATCATTAAGGAGTTGTACTCATGGAGAGATGAAAAGAAAAACATTTCAAAAATGAACTATTTTAGGAATATGTGCAAAAGAGTAGGATATGTTCAAAAGCTCTCTAATTGAAATATCTATTCTTGAGAATCATAAAAGCCCTGAAGCTTAACGTAGTACATAAAAAAAATGTTGTAAACAAAAGTAGTGGGCGTATGCGGGGAAGACAACATTGAAGAACGTGATTGGGGACTAAAAGAAATCGAGGTTAGGGAAGGGCAAAGTTGAAGGGCAATGGAGATTAGGGAAGACCAAATAACAATGGAGGTTGGGATAGAGCAGTGGGTGTGTGAATAACAGGAGGGGGAGATTAGGGAAGAGCAATGGACGTCTGCGGGGAAGACAACGTTTTCTTCAAAGTGAAATTGGAGGAGGGAAATGCCAAATACTGATTTCATTTCCTTGAAGCACATACCGATGGTCACAGTCCCTCGGTAAAGGACATTACTGAGGTTATTACCGACAGTCATAATCCCTCGATAATAATCATATCCTCTATCCTCGATAACGGACATTATCGACAAATATATTCATCAATAAGAAACCATCCATATTTCGTTGGTAAATCCACCTGTAAATGTGTATTACTGAAGGATTGACATCCGTCAGTAATTATTTGTTGGAAATATACATTTTTACTGTAGTGTGATGAAATTGAAAATCCGTAAAGACTTCACTAGTGTTGGATTTCACGTTTCAATTCATTGTAAAACACACTAAACAAT